GTAAGTGCAGTCAGCTTTCTTTCATGAAAAAATGCCTTAGTCTAAGACACAGTATTACTCAAAAGAGCTTTGAAAGGTGGTAAGTGAAACATCTGGAGCTATATATTTGAAACTAAACATTTATATTAAAACATTTAAATAGATGAGTCTTCATTTACTTTGTAGTAAGATTACTATAAGGTTTTTTTAATTTTTTTTTTTAAAACTTCATCAATTTGCTTGCAAGCTCTGAACGTTATGGGAGGCTGATCTCTGTGGTCATTTTCAGAGCCTGGTTTGTAAGTATAGTCAGAATGTTCATACTGGAATTAGTTGTAATTTTAACTATGACTCTCTAAACCATTTATGAACTGTAGTAGAGATATTGCCCGTTTATATAAACCATAAAATTCAAAGTTTAACTGTTGCCCACAGTTTACATAGAAGCCAGTAAAGTGTAACTTTTTGCCTGTCATATAAATCAGTGTAATTACGTATTCAAGTTTAATTACTGGTGCGTCTGTATTGGCAAGGTTTATATGTTATATTTTATGCAAGACTACGATTCCTATTAATATTTAGCAGCTAACTATATCATTAATTACTCTAAATTCTTTCCCCTACCATCTTTTTAATGGAGCTGAGAGAGTGGAAGTATTAAAAATTGATGTATTGTGGATTTCAGAAATGTGTCTGAAGCTTTAGAAATGCCTGGCCTTAATCAGTGGTGTCAAACATGGCAGTTTCTTGTTTACTAAATAGTAAAACATGTATCTTGGAGGTATTGTTTCCCAGGTTATTTATATAATAATTAGCAGTCTGATATGTAAGTAGACTTAGTTTTAAGTTTACTGTAGGTTGGTTTTTTTAAGTGTATCTAAAATTATGGTATCTCTTTTTTATGTTTTAAAAAGCTGATCTCATTTGCCTTTTTTCATTCCATTTTCTCTTTCACATTTTAAATGTTCATTTTAATTGCTAGAGTAGGATATTTAACAGTAACAGTAATTGAGACCAGACTCCCTTTTTTTCTTATGCTCTGATGTGTTAAGAATCCATTTTGATCTGACCTTTTTTTAGGGAAAATATTTTACTGATTTTTTTCTTCTTTTGTTTGGCACGTTAACATATCTGTGATCACACAGAAATGTTTATTGTCATGCATTTAATTGTTTTATTGCACATTTATTCTACTTGCCTTTGAAAATAAAACACTGTGAACATTCATGTATTTTATCAGGTTCCAAACCATTACTTTTTCAAAATGGAAAAATTTGTCTTTTGGAAGTGTCTTTAGATGTATTAAATAATACAAAAGAAGTAATAAAACTTGAAGTAGAAAGAACATGAATATATGCTCTTGAGAGTAACACTACTCTAAAACAAGTAAAGTGAGCAATCAGACAAAAGTTTTTATATCCCAAGCTTTATGCTATCAACCATGCAGTGGGTAGCTTGAGGCCTTTTACTTTTAGCAGTTCTCCTGAGTATGCTAATGCTCTCTTCCTGTATAAAATGCCAAGACAATAAAACTTTAAAGAGCAAACAAGAGTTAGATCATGTGTGTAAAAAACAGCTACTTTACAGAAAAGAATGACACTTGCTATTAAAGTTGTTTTGTAAGTGTTAGGCAGAACTGTTTACATATCCTATGTTCTGTCTGCCATTCTTCTGGATAAACTGTGATATCTGTGCATATGATTATGTAGATATGGCTACATTTATAGCTGTGTTTATAGTTAAAATAGTGCATATTGAAGTAATTCTTGCCTATAACAAAGGCAGATACCTTAAGTTACACCCTAACTCAAGATTCAGCCTTCCTCTCTCATTTTTATGATGTGTCATTTGTCAGAATAGGCATTTTCAGGACTTGCTATGTTGGCTCCTTTGAAACTTGTGAGGGCACGTTGCTCAGTTCTTGATAGACTGAAGCAACAGAATGTAAATGCCCTGAGACGCCATTGGAGAAAGAATCTATGCACATTCATCCCTTGCAGAAAACTTTGTGCAAGAATTCTGGGCTTCTGTGAGACCATGAGCCATCAGACAAAAGATGAAAGCTGGATGCCCACTCACGACATTTTTTCTTTTTCTTGGCAGGGGAAAAAGGGAATGAATGCAATCTGCAAGGAAAGGCCAGGGTAGGGAGAGGCTTGCATGGGAGGCAGGAGACCAAGGAAGAGAAGAGACCTCTTCCTTGAATCCATGACCACATTGGTCAGGGACCCTCATTTTTGTTAAAGACCATTACATAAGAAAAGGAGAAAATAATATAGGTAGAGCAAAACAGAAGTAAAATAAGTGAGGAATATGGCAAACAACGAAGACACAATTTAAATTTTGCATTGCCTGTGCAGATAACATAATCTTGTTTCTTTTTTTTAACTGAAAAATAGTTAATGAACCAGTAAAAAAAAAAGGTATATTACTGGCACAAGCACCTACTTACTTTTAGTCTCCTGAGAAGGTTCATCCAGGAAATGTGGGTGTTTCTCCCCTAGAGAAGGGTTCTTGAGGTGTGATAATTACTATACTCACCTATGAATTTGGAGGCTCTATTAATATCCAAGTAGATTAAATCTTCATCTCCTGATTCCCAGGAAAATGCACTAGCCACAACAGCAGGAATATGCTGAGCAATGTTGCCTGCCATCTTGTAGGTGGCACACGTGCAGGAACACTGGAGCAAAGTATTAGGGAAAGAGGCAGGATGTTGTGCACAAGTTAGAGATCAGAGCATTAAATTGGGAAGGTGCAGAGTTCAGATTCTAGACAAACTTCCAGAGAGAGGCATTTGTTTGCTATTTCAGCAGGAAATGCGAAAAGAGTCCCAGTGACAATGCCAAAGTCAAGCATCTTAGTTGGGCATTTGGTTGTTAAAATTGTACTGACTGTCTTTTTATGATAAAAATGTCTTATTTTGGGATGATTCATATTAATGTTTTTTAGCATATTTTGTGTGTGTGCAGAAGTCAGTGTATCTGTGATTGAGCACTGGAACATTATCAGAAACATTGATTTCTGTTATTGTAGTGCCTTAGCTATTGAGTGTTGGAAAGTGGGAAATCGTTTCAGTTCTTGGATATGAACCCAGTACTTCACATCTGGTTTTGCAAAACTGAGTAGTAAGAGCAGTTAGAGTCATTAATTTACTCATCTGTGACCAGGTATCTTAACATAGGCAGGCAAATCAACTTACTTAGAAAATAGTCTCTGTTCATTGACTAGAGAAAGACAGGAGGTCTATAATTTCAAGTAACTGTATCACACTTAAATGCTTGTTAAGTGCAATGAGTCCCAGTCAGTGTATTTAGAGCACTTTAAAACCTCCAAAATTTTGGCCTCAGATAATGAAATATAATCTGCTCCATTTCTTATGCTTTTTGAATACTTAAAAATACCACAGTAAGTTGTTGGTGATCAGTACAACCATAGCCTGATAGCTAGGGTAACTCATATATTAATTATTACATAAAACATCAGAAATTTTATGCTGCGTGCCTCCCACTTTCCTTTCTCTATCTGATGAAAGGTGGCATTTCCATGATCCAGAATGCAGCATATGACTGGAATCTTAAGTCCTAGATGTTCTTTCTGTATTTCAGCAGTATTAAATCCAAGTTTTGTCTTTGACTGGCCTTCAAATCTTATCCCTGGTGTGTGGGTGCTGAGTGCTTCCTTGACATAAGTCTTCACTGAGAAAATGTGTTACTGATTGTGGGCATATATGTTGTGTTCAGAATTTGAATTTCTGCTAAGATCAGTTGTCAGCAGTCAATATCAGGCAATTCTATTTTAAGTCAATGCTTAAGACTGTTTCTTCTTTCATTATTTCAACATGGACTACTTCTCTGAACTTATTGTGAGTTAGAGCTGATAAGCAACAGGTTTCAAAGTGACAGACAAAACTGAAGATGTTTTATGCACAAAGATTCCTTATTTATGTAAAACTAGGTGCTGCTAATCTTGCATAACAATTGTACATGGATGTAACTGTAAGTTCCACAGTACACACCTTTGGAGTATAAATGCAGAATTCTGAACTAAAGAAAACAAATCCAAACAAGTGCAGTTAAAGCTGGGTTGTGGCAAACATCAGAGAAAACTTTTATTATTCCTGTAGAAGCAACAGCATGGATGAAACCTGAGATTATGTTTAGGAACAATAATGACAGTTCATGCATTACTGAAAATGCAACTTCTTTTTAACCTGCATGTAATAGACAGCATACTACTGAAGAGCTTTGGTGGGGTTTGAAGATCAGTTCTTTCAGAAATAATAAATTTAGAATTTTAAATGAACATCAGGATCATAATGAAATCAATTTTGTGCTACTACTTTTCCTGTCTGTATTATACATTGGAGAGTTCTCACTTTTGGAGATGGCAAATAAGGGATGGAAATCAAGTTCAGCTATTTTTCTGGTGTTTGTGTCTGCATTTTTTTCTAGGCTGATTGCACTTCAGCGATTATTACAACTGGCACAGACACGGGTGCTTTATCACCAGAATACTTAGCACATTACTTGTCCCCATGGTCATGGCAAATGCATCATGCAAAATGCCACTTTACTTCATTGTCTAATCCTGGGGAGAAGAAGGTATGATTTTAATCTGCAAAGCTCTTCATAGCAGTTGAGGAAACTGAAAGAAATCAGTCATGAGAAAACAAGGAAAATGGCAGACTGAGAAAATGTAGTCTTACCATAGAAAACAATGGGGCAATTATATCAGTCTAATAAAACTCACTGCAGCTCATTAAATAAGGAAGAAAAGGTGGTAGGGTAAACAGATACCCCTCTGGTGAGAATTTGAGGAAGGGGCTTGTCATCATGATTGTGTCCCTGCTCACTCTGTGAGAGTGTAGAATGAAGACAATGCAATAAATTCATTCTTAACTGACTTACCGAAATAATCTAGTTCCTAACAACATATCCAGAATCCTGGAGTTAATGCCATTCTGATTTCTAGAATTTTAGTTGTTGACAGCATTTTTAGAAAGTGAAAACAGGAAATAA